CTCATCCATCCTCCATAAAATGCGCAGCACACATCTGAATATTTGGGTTGAACTGTTCTGGAACGTTGTTGTAAATACAACTTAACCACTGATTTCTAGTTGTGTCCATTTTTGGAAGGCCAAACAAAGTAGTTTCGCTTTCACAATGAAGCACACAGCGTCTTCACGACATGGCTGCAGCGTCAACAATACTACAGTGAAAATAAAAGTTACGCCTTCTTTCTTTGCGTTAACATTTTGGCGGTGTTATGCAAATCTTCCCACATAGTGAGGTAGATATGTGGGGGCGTGTTAGAACGAGCCGTTTTAGGTAGGTGTGGCTGACTCTGAACTTTTATAAAGAATATCTCTTTGGATTTGAGACTTTAGTCTTTGCAACTTTACAGGTCTTCTTTATGCACCAAGAGCTTGTAACACTCCAAAGAGAAAGGAAAAATTTAAATCGCATCATATGACCCCTTTAATATCTAAAAAAAACTAAACTTACTGTCCCGGTGTCCCCAGACTTAGGAGTTTTGTATAACACAGTAAGTAGCTTTGGATAAAATTGACTTTTTACATCTCACTGATTACATTCATTGTCAAAGCAATGAGGAAGTTTGCATGCTACATGGATATGAAACAGCATTTTGGTGACTGAATTATAGTGAAGGGATGTTCCCAGCTTCTCATAAACAGTCATGTGTTTGAAAGTAGCTGTATCTCATCAAATTTGAGTAACAGGCAATTTTCTTGGAAAGTGCAACCGAATGCCTTTAGAAATTGGATTTACACCCTGTAAACTCATACATAAATGCACAATTACGTTGGGATGCAGGTGCATGATAAATGTAACACCCATTGAGATGTGCTTTTCCAATAATAAACTTGTCAGATCAGGATCAGTGAACACAAAACCAGCCTAATTTATGCAACCAACTGTTCTTCCAACGTACCGTGTGGTTATAGTGAAATATGTAGCCTTAAATGATGATGCGAGACTGTGAACATTCCCTTTAAATGTTTATGTGTGCTTGAACTTCTTCGCACCTTCATGAATTAATGTCTGCTCTTTACACCTTCAGCTTCAGTTTGCCAACGAGCAGAGCGATGCCAGCTGGACCTCGGGCAGTGCCAAAGATCTGGTTTTCCTCGTGCAGGTGTCCTGCCAGGTCAGTGGGCTCACATGCCCCAGTCAGCACTAATAATAGCCACAAAAAAAAACACGTCTGACCGTATCAAACGTGAAAGAATTCAGTGCACTACACATCGTTTTGCATCGTGCATCTTCCTCTCTTCTGTTGGTATGTAATTTGTTGACTTCCCCTTCCTCTCTCTGCCCCTCTTTCCCCAACTCTCTCTCTCGCTGAAATCTAGGGTAAGACGTGGATGGTGCGGCGTTCATACGAAGAGTTCCGGACGCTGGACGCCCATCTGCATCAGTGTATTTACGACCGCCGTTACTCGCAGCTCTTGGCCCTTCCTGCCCTATGCGAGATCGGAGACCGGGTGGAGGTGAGCTCAACTACGCTGGATACAATTTTTTTTTTTTGTCTTGTTTAGCTTCATCGTAGCTCATGTCATACCGCTAACAGAGTTAGCTACTCTGTATTGAGGTCGTCGGCCAGTTATGTAGGTTGGTGTCCGGATCCTTAGGGACAGTGCTGAGAAGGAAAACACTTAATCTTTCACATATCACTATTATTATATATATATTTTTTTTTCATTTATCATGTGATTATTTTAAATCTGGTAGATTCTAATTACCATTAGATACAAAGGTTTGGGTTCAATAAGATTTTGTAGTGTTTTTGAAAGAAGTCTCTTATGCTGAGCAAGTCTGTGTTTATTTGATCAAAAATACAGTAAAATATAGTATTGAGAAATATTACAATTTAAAATAACATTTTTCAGCAGTCATTACTCCAGTCTTCAGTGTCACATGATCCTTCAGAAATCATTTTAATATTCTGATTTGCTGCTCAAGAAACCTTTTTTGAATGTTGCTTAATAGTTCTTAATAATTCAGTGCTTAATAGTTTTGTTTTGTTTTTCTCCGAATTCTTTTCCTTTGATGAATACAAAAGTTCAAAAGAACACTTGAAATCTAAATCTTTTAAAACATAAATGTCTTAAATGTACACTTTTAATAAATGTATTGCATCCTTAATAAAATTAAAGTATTCGTTTCTTTACTAAAAAATCTAACTGATCTGAATCTTACATAAAAAAAATTCATTTGAAAAATAAGTGAGACTTTATTGAGCTTAACATGCATGTTGTTCACGCAGATCTTCACGCCACTGCTGTCGGAGTATATGAACCGTCTCTCCATGATTGTGGACAATAAGCTGAACTGTGGGCCGGTTCTCACCTGGATGGAGGTGAGAGGCAAGCAGAGCAAAGATGGGATTGCTAACATACATTAGAGTAGATAAGAACTGCAATTTGGAAATATGTCGAAATGAAACTTATTTATAGGGATAGTTCATCCTCATGACTTTCCAAACCTATGTGTTTCTTTCTTCTGTGAAATATAAAAAATATTTTTAAGAACATTGGAAAGCCCATTGACTTGTATTGTATGGCCTGATGAAAGCAGACATTTCTCAAAATATCTTCCTTTTGGAACAACATAAGCATGACATTATACATGTATCACAGGCGATCACAACACACACACTTTTTTGTAAAAAAAAAATGGCAGAATCTGTTTTGCTAAGATACATTTCATGAATTTTGCTTTGAGATTTTGGCTACCTGAAGTCATGCAGTATTACAGCTAATGGATTTTTATGCTCTCTACAGATTGACAACCATGGCAACAGGTTCCTGCTGAAAGAAGAAGCATCTTTAAACGTCCCTGCCATTGCTGCTGCTCACGTCATCAAGCGCTACACTGCTCAGGCTAGCGATGAGATATCTATTGAGGTACTCGGACCACTTATTTTTTCCCCTCTGTTGATATATTTCCTTTTAAAATAGGACTTTGAGATGCGACATATGAAAGCTTCTAGTTTTTTCAAAGCTCCTCTCAGTGTTGTACATCAAACTACTGCATAAACTCCAAACTCTTCCAGAAGACCTTGTACCCAGTTTGAGTTCTGTCTTTTTCACGTGCTGTCCTTATTCTGCACATGCATGCACAGCCTGCCTGGTCCTGGGACACTGTTTCGTACTCTCTGCTCTTCCTCCTCCTCCTCTTCCTCCTCCGTCATGTCTATTCCTGTCCCCCCTCCCTATACGCTGCTCCATATACAGCGTCACTTTCTGGGCCAGAGAATGGGGTGACCCAAACTTAGAACACATTGAGGCCCCTTTTCTCTCTCTATTTCTTTTTGTCTCTCTCTTTCTTTCTTTCTTTCTTTCTCTCTCTGTCTGTCTGTCACATTTCACTTCCTTTGCATACATATGACATCATTTTTTAAACTGATTTATCTAGCTAGCTTTAACCACATGGCGAGAACATAAAAACCTCTCTGAAACCCTTTGCAACCACCTAGAAATGCCTTATGACTTTGCCAAGCACTTTAGCAACCACTTAGTAATGCTGTATTTGTCTATCTGTTTGTCTGTTGAATTTTTATATTTAGGCAAGGCTTTTAAAGCCAACATCAACATTTATTTCGACAAACTTTTCCTTTTTGGTTTCTCTCTTGTTCTTGTTCTTTTTCTCTTTTCTCTCATCTCAGGCTTAATGCTTTCTCTTTCTCCTCTCCAGTGAGAGATAGGAACTGATATTTTTTTGCCTTCCTCTGTTTTTAAATTTGGGTCAAAGTATATTTCGGCACGCAACAGTGCTTTTGAATAGAGATGTTAATCTGATTGTGACTGGATGTTGTTGAGAATATATGAAGTGTTTTGTCTGCAGTGCACATACAGTAATTGCAGCTGTTGACGTGCTTGTGGTTGAAAAATATGTACTCAATCATCATCCTCTTCTATGCTAATATACTTTTATGAAGTTTTTGATGGTTTCAATGGAGAATTAATTTGCATGTTTGTTACTAGATGTGTGTGTGTGTGATGTTTTATTTATTTCAAGATCAAGTCTGTTTGCATGCTAATCGCTTGCATGTGTCTTTGTTCCTCTTTCTAAAGGTTGGTGATATTTTGTCAGTGATTGACATGCCGCCCAAAGAGGACACCACGTGGTGGAGAGGAAAGCATGGATTCCAGGTACCGGTTCCAGGTTCCAGGATCTGATTTGGGCCATCTTCAGTAACACTGTAAACTTTGAGCCCAGCTTTCCCCTCTTTTTCTTCAGGTTGGCTTCTTTCCCAGTGAATGTGTGAAGTTAATCAATGAGAAGTTGCCACAGTCGGTCAGCGCTCCTGTCAGTAAGCAAGGTACCATGCACATGGTCTTCTTCAGTATCCAGAGATCAGGATGGTTCTGGAAGTAGAAATGCCTTTTAAAATCTCTATAGCAATGTACTTCCAGAACCAATATTGCTGAAAAACTGTTCTGTCATTTTTTTAACTCTTCTTGCTGGTTTATCAATGCTTCAGTACATATCATTTGGTTGTTCATCTTATTGCAATCATATTGGCTTTTTTAGAGGTGGATGCTTTGGGCTCCAAACCTGGCATTAACAACACGACTGGGCCTTCCTCTCCATCATCAGGTATCACTAAATAATATTTTATTTTACTTTTCAGTAGTTGCAATTAGGGCTGGGCATAGTATTAAAGTGCCCCTATTATGCCATTTATACGGTTCCTAATATTGTTTTTGGAGTCTCCTACAATAGGATTACATGCATGTAAGGTCAAAAAAACGCTTTCGTTTTCTCAAAATATGCATTTAATATCACCTCATTTTCCAGCGATTCTCAAACGATTCGTTCGAAGCAGTTCAAAGATTCAGTCTCTCTAAACCTCTCCTTTCAGTGAGCCTGCTTTGCTCTGATTGGTCAGATGGCCTAGTCTGTTGTGATTGGTCTACGGCGTACAGC